AGGAGTCTGACCAGCCTGGGAAGCATAGTGGGGACCACATCTCTACTAAAAATAAAAATTAAAAAATAGCCAGATGTGGTGGTGAGCACTTGTAGTCTTCACTCAGGAAGTTGAGGTGAGAGGAAGGCTGGAGACCAGGAATTTGAGTCTACAGTAAGCCATGACCACGCTACTGCACTCCATTCTGGTTCACATGGTGAGACCCTGCGCCCCCACCAAAAAAAAAAAAAAAAGCAGAGCAAAGCTCTCTTTGCCATCCATGCCTATATTATACGGGATCAACATCATCCAAAACACTGTCTACTTCCCCTTACTCCTCTGATATCTCATTCTGGAGCTGATCACATGTGCCCCTAATTCCTGTTCCTGTTCTGGGCTGGGAGAGACTCACTGTCCTTGCTTGCCCAGCAGGAGACAGCTACACACCAAAGGAGGAGGGGAATAGCTGCTGTGTAGGTGTTAAGAGCTTTGCCAAATCTCACTAAGCTTCTAAGTGAAGTCATATGGGGAGAAGAAAGTCTATAGGTATCTTTACCTTCTGAGAATAGAACAGGACAAGCCCTGAGAATGGCATGAAGTCAAATTCCTAATCTTCCAGATGACAACCTTAGCTTCAGCAGTTGTGAAAAAGTGGCCTTGAGTTTAAGACCAATAAATAATTTTAAGCATGGAAATAAAAGGGAAGAGATTTGCAGTAGAGTTCTCAACCCCAGGGCTAATTAGGGTCAGGCTTGTGCTGCTGGGTTCTGGCCCTGGGCTGTGGAGGAAGCAGCTAAAACTCCCTTGAGCCATGGGGCTGAGGACCTGGAAGGAGTCAAAGGTCCTGTCCACTGGGATTCTTGGCAGGGGCTTCAGGGAAGGAAACTGCTCACACTCCCAAGGGGACTGCACCAAGTCCAGAGCCCATAGTCAGAGTGAAAGACTCAGAGACCAGGGCCTTAGGCCTGGGCCTGGGCTTGGGCTCCTGGGGCCAGCTATCTTCAGCTCTGTCCTCACTGGTCCTGAATGATTGGTATCATGATGGAGCCAAAGAGGGAGGAACAGCAAATGTCCCCAGAGTCTTTACTCAGCCAGGTTCTGCTCTGATTAGAATGATAAGAAGCACATGCTAAATAAGTTAGTATGTGTGTGTGTTTATGTGTGTGTGCATAAATATATATGTACACATTATATAAATGAAAAAAATGATGTTCTGGATGTAAATTATATTGATCTATATGTGCTATGCAACTATATTATAAATCAATATAATGCATACATTTATACAGGAATAAATATAACTTTGTTTTTATAGTGCATAACTTTAAATTTTGATAAATTGAGCAGGCACTTTTAAAACCAGCAATGGTGGACCCCTCCATGACTCCTTCTTCATTTCAGAGTCCAAGAGTGAGAAAACTCAGGCTCTATTCCCATATTCCTGCTGGTCTGAGCAGTGACTTGCCCATTACTGAGAACTTTGAGTGACCAGAGGGGCTCTGAGAAACTGAGCAGCAGTTCCAGGGAGACAGGCAGTGGATCCAGGAAATGGGAGGGGAACATTTGGTGCCCAGAGCTTTCTGTGGGCAGGTCCTCCCCATGGGAAATCCCATCAGACAGAGCAGCACATGAGGCTCAGTGGCTGTGTGGTCACAGGACAAAACCCCTCCACAGCCTATGGGCAGCCTCCCCTATGACTGGAGCCATGTAGGACCTCTCTGCCCAGCTTTCAGGGCTCACACGGCTGCTGGAATCCTGTTCACAATGAGGTTCCTTGGTCAGATTGGCTGCTGATGGCCAGAGTGATGTCTGTCCAGACATTTGGACCCTGGCCCAGTCAGGCATTGTGTCCACAGGGAACCGTGAGCCAACAGGAGCTCAGAGCTAGGCCTGTTTTCTGCTGGAGTCAAGCTAAAGTAGAATGCTGTTAACACTCTGTCTGTCCCCACAGGTAACAGTGACCTCTGTGGGGACATAGGAAAAGGGGTAGGAGACGGTATGCACAACATACCCACTGACATCTAAGTAGGGAGCAAACATGAACTTCCCCAAGTATTAATACCAAGCAAGTAGTTCATTCAGTTTGATGAAGTTCTGATTAGAAAGCAAAACAGACTAACTACTTAATCTTCAAGGGAGACATTCTAGTAAAATATGCAAACAGGATGAAGCCTCCACCTTCCTTCCTCACTAGAGAATCAGAACAGCAGGAGGAACAGGAACAAAGCTGGATATCTGTGCCCATGGGGAGTCTCCAGAGGCTGATTCTGCTCGGAGATGGCAAGGATGGTGTAGTAGTCCGCTGGGACTCCCACACCAAAATGGATACTGCTGGATGGTTTAAACCACAGTAATTAATTTTATGTTTCTGGTGGCTGGAAATTCCAAGATCAATGTCCAACAGGTTTCACTTTCTGGTAAGGATCTTCTTCCTGGTTTGGAGATAGCCACCTTGGGTAGAAAGTAGGGTTAGGGGCAAGAGAAGAGAAAGAGAGAGATAAAGAGAGCTCTCTGGTTCTTTATTATTAATGGAACACTAATTCTATTAGATTATGGTCCCATCCTTTTGACATCGTTTAGCCTCAATTTCCTCAATCATTTCCATCTCTTATAGCTACATAAGGGGAATAGTGCCAGGCTTGAATTCTCAGAGCACAGAGGGGTTTCCCCATAACACAACACACTGGAAACTCCTCCTGGGTGCTCCAGGTCACACATGAGACCCCATTTCAGCCTTAGGGGCTCCATGTTGATAATCAGACATTATCACCCTTACAATGCCAGTTAATATTTTTAGATCATGGCCATCTCTTTGGTTTATTGTGGGATTTGTTTGCCATCTACAGGCAGGTCTTTGACATAGCAACATTTAGTATTGATTTTGTGATAGTGAAAATTAATTATTAAACATAAATAATGAACTAACCTTAATACATTAATTGTTTAAACATTTATCCCTGGTGGAAAGCTGGAGTTTTCTTTGGGTCTTTATAAGAAAACAGCTTTCCCTTCACTCTGCTCCACCTCATGCTGCCGAGGAATGGACGTGGAGACAGTGACTGTAATGAAGGAGGAGAACTGTGCTGAGTGTGGTCATGCCTCCTGCCCACCTGAGTGACCTCATGGAGCACAGCCATTGGCACCACCGAAGCCACCTTCTAGTCTCTACATTGCCATGGCACAGACAGAGAAACTTCATCACATTTAGTCCACCATATTTTGAAGCTTCTTTGTAATACATTTGATTATGCTCTGATTCTTCTTGTATCCCTTTCAGTATTTGGAATCATTCATTTTTCACCATTTCAACTTGAGAGTATAGCCCCTCGGGATATCAACATCATGTAGGCTGTATGTTTGCTTGTTTTTTAAAAGTGTCCAACCAACCTTGAGTTGTTTGCGCCTTATCCCCTGTCTCACATCAAAGCAGAATCTTAGGTCATTAGGTGTCGTCAATCACTTGATGGCGAAAGATGATAATGACACTGCTTAGCTCCTGCTCCTGCTATTTACGCTTCTCCTTGAATTTTGTAACAACTTTTAAGCCCTGTAATGCATTACTTAGTGTTTCAAACAGTGTATTAAGTATCTTATGTTTTTTATTTTCACAGCTCCAGTCTGCTTGATTTCTATATAAATATTGTTATGTCTAATAAACCCAACAGAAATGGCACTTCAGAATTTTAATTGCACTTACCATGAAATTCATTATGTTGGAGTAGAAAATCATCTCAAATATACTTTAAATCTTAAACCTAAAGTAAGATCTTCTTGTTCTGTTGTTCTAATCATTTTGTGTCTATCATGCAATATTGTGACATGTAACTGACATGATGGATTATTAAGTTTGATAAAACACTATTTTGCATAAAATCTATTGAAAGAATAAATTTTCTAATTTTACAACTAAAACGCAAGATCCAGATTCATTTTCTGGTAAGGGTGATGTCATATGTAAAGAATACATTTTTGTAATATTTGAAACCTTTTATTATGTGATATAGTACTAAATTTATCATCCCTAAATAGTACTTACAATAAACAGTTTTACAGTTAGAATTTGGTTTACGGGGAAAAGAAAGCCTCTCATATATTTCTGCATTTATTCCTGTGGCATATTTAGTAAACTCTGTGTTCTCTATCTTTTCAGTTTATGTTGCTTTTTTTTTTCTTTTTTGAGAAAGAACTTCGCCTTGTAGCTCAGACTGGAGTGCAATGGTGCTATCTTGGCTCACTGCAACCTCTGCCTCCCAGGTACAAGCAATTTTTCTGCATCAGCCTCCCAAGTAGTTGGGATTATAGGCGAATGCCATTACACCCTGGCTAATTTTGTATTTCTGGTAGAAACCCAGTTTCACCAGGTTGGTCAGGCTGGTCTTGCACTCCTGACCTCAGGTGATCCACCCACCTCGGCCTTCCGAAGTGCTGGGAATACAGGCAGGAGCCACTGCACCCAGCCAATGCTGCTTATTTTGGAAGCTCACTTTTGGAGTTGTAAGAACTCCCTCCTCGCTGGGAAAAAAGTAATAAGAGGCAAATTAGAGTCTCTTGACATTAAGATCTTATATCTGATATGGATTAACAAATCTAAGAACAGTCAGAAATCAAACATTTTTACTAATTATTCATATCCATACTCCCCCTGAGGACAGCTTATATAGAACATGTTCTCCAACATGACACTGGAAAGTGCAGTTTAGTGTGAGTGGTCAAGGGAAACAGAAAGTAAGGAAAGTGGGAAAATAATTCCAAGTATTATCACCAAGTATTAATTTGTATAAAATAAACCCCACACAGTCATTTTCCACATGTATTCCACCTGTGTTGCCACTAAACTGCACCTGTGTTCTGGCTGTTATGCTGACTGAATGTACTTGGCAATCGTGAGCAAGACAGGCAGGGTGAAGATGAAGCTGACAACTAATGGAGCTTTGACCACGTGGGACTGAGGTGCCGCTGAGACTCTCATGGGTCAAAGTCCTCAATAGTAAACTCTGCCCCTGAGTTCTCCAACAGCTTCCTCTTCTGCAGACTCAAGAGCCCTGCTGAGCTGCTCCCCAGACAAGTAGCACATGTAAGCAGCTGGGACACCCCAGCAGGGAAGTTTCTGTTCGAGGCTGTACCACTGTGGGAGGAAGCTCTATAGCTTGCATGCAGTAATAAACCCCGACATCCTCAGCCTCCACCAGGCTGATTTTCAGTGTGAAATCAGTGCCTGATCCACTGCCACTGAACCTGTCTGGGACTCCAGAGGCCCGGTTGGAAGCCGCATAGATCAGGAGCTGTGGAGACTGGCCTGGCTTCTGCAGGTACCAATTTAAATAAGTGTATCCATTACTATGCAGGAGGCTTTTACTAGACCTGCAGGAGATGGAGGCCGGCTCTCCAGGGGTGACGGGCAGAGAGAGTGGAGTCTGGGTCATCACAATATCCCCACTGGATCCTGAAATTACGAGAGAGAAGTGCAAGGTTATATGCAAGCATTATGAGCAACTTTTGAGATTTGCCTTATGGTATTGATTTACGGTTAATCTTTTATTTTTACAAATTTTTATTCATATTATAAAAACAAACTTTTAAAACAAACCCTTTATTAAATAGGTACAAGTGATCCTTTACTTTTCAAGATACTATTCAGAACACTGCTTTTAGTAGGTTTCTAATCTTTCTCAGGGCAAAATATAAATTCCCTTCACTGGAGCATAGGCCATAGTCCTCCAACTCGTGGTTAGAATAAACATGGGAAGCAGTGGGGCCCCTCCCACCCCATTCTCCTCCCTCATCTCTTTCTGTCCTTACCAGGGACCCAGAGCATTAGCAGCCCCAGGAGCTGAGCACAGAGCCTCATCGTGAGAAGGTGCGCTGAGGATTCCTGATCAGTCAAGACAAGGTTGGAGCTGAGCTTTTATCTTGGACTCACAAGGGGAGGTCCTCCCTAGGGGACAGTATGCAAATCCCCTGGTGGGTGCAGTGGTGTGGAAAGAGCCACTGAGTGGGAGGTAAAGAGAGGTGGACGTGTCTCCTCTGTGAGCAATGTGATATAAAGTGTCCCTTGATCCAAAACTAATAGAGATAAAGTCTAATTTACCAGTAGCAGTGGGAAGAAGGATCTGAATTTGAAAGTTTGGATCTTGGGCAAGTAACACTTTATAGGATGTCAGGGTTTCCAAGTTTTTGCTAACTCTGAGTATGAACCTGTGTCTTCCCCTAGCCTGTATGTGGCGCAGCCACAACCATGAGACCTCAGTTCAAAAGGAGATTATGTAGGAAGAACAAGAACTGGATCCACAGTTTTAAGTCTCAGGGTCAGTAGTACTGTGGACAACATTTCCCTAGGTTTTTAGTGAAAGAGAATCACATTCAGGAATATGAATCTACCATACAGATGATCATTACAAATAAAAACCTGAGTATTATTCATTTGTCAGTGATGTACTTAATATGGAATTTAGTGGCTCCTGAATAATGGTGTGTACATGAAATCACTTCACAAAGACTGTTGCTGTCCTGAAAAGAAACAACAAAAATCCCAGGACCAATTAAAAGAATAGTTTCTAGTGCTATGTAATCTTCAATTATTTAATACAAAGTCTGATTTGCTGAGTAAAGAAAACACATACAGGGAAAAACAAAACAGGGTTCCAGGTATTATTATTCCAAAGAAAGCTTTTCCTGATTATCTTCTGGGAAATGCACTGGCATAACATATTTTAACAAAGTTGGTGAAAAGAAATTGAGTAAAAATGCTATTAGCCTTTAAATGTTGAACTTCATGGCACTAATGTGAATTGAGAATATCAAATTGTAGTGCAGAAGTAGGATTAGATCACATATCATAGTTCACTATTTAAATTTTTATTTATTATTTTCTTTCATTACTTTTGATAAATCTTATGTATTTGATTTTCTTTTTTTGAGACAGAGTCTTGCTCTTTCACTCAGGCTGGAGTGTAGTGGTGCAATCTCTGCTCACCGCAATCTGCAACCTCCGCCTCCCAGGTTCAAGTGATTCTCAGTCCTTTGGAGTTGATGAGACTATAGGCACTCTTCACCATGACCAACTAATTTTTGTATTTTTAGTAGAGATGAGGTTTTCACTTGTTGGCCAGGCTGGTCTCGAACTCTTGGCCTTAAGCAATCTGCCTGCCTTGGCGTCCCAAAGCGCTGGGGTTACAAGTGTGAGCTACTGTGCCTGGCATTGACTTCTTTTTTCTTGTGCTGCTGACCAGTTCAAATATGGTTTTTAGCCTTGAGAATGCCAAACGCCTAATTCATAATAATAGTTAAAAGAGTCAGAAACATCAAATGCTGAAAAGGAATATAAAAGAAAACACACAGAAGAAACACACAATCTAAAAGAGAACACTGTGGTCCATCTTATCACTGGTAAAATGAATTAGTATGGAAGGGTATTAAATGAATAAACAGTTCCACCAACTATCTTGTATAGAAACTTGCACTGTGGGAAAACGAATAATAGTCATAAATCTGTCAGGTTTGTTTTTACTATTGCTGGGTTTCAGAGAGTACTTCTGTTTTCTTTGAAAATTAATAACAAAGCTTTAAAAAGTTTGCCATCGGGGTTGGTTGTTTTAGCTCATAATCTGTTGCCATTACACATCTGAAAATGTAAAACCTTCGCCACATGTTCACTCATAGGTGGGTGTTGAACAATGAGAACACATGGACACAGGGAGGGCAGCATAACACACGGGGTCTGTTGGGGGTGGCTAGGAGAGGGACAGTGGCGTTGGGGGGAGGTTGGGGAAGAATAACATGGGGAGAAATGCTAGATATAGGTGACGGGCGGATGGAGGCAGCAAACCACTTTGCCATGTATGTACCTATGCAACAATCCTGCATGATCTGCACATGTATCCCATCCCAAAGTACAATTAAAAAAAAATTCAGTCATAAAAAGGCTCTGAAATTACCCTATACTAAAGGCTCTGAAATTATTATACACTATTAAACTTAAAGGATAATATTCTTAATTCTAAACAGAAATCTCTGTTTGGCAGGCCTCTGTATTTCTCTAATCTGGACCATTAGGAAGGACCGATACAGGTGGGGTTTATTGCAGTTGCATCTCACTTGCCTGATACTGTTAGTTTGGAGTCCATAAAATTGAAGGCAAGTGTATTATTTGTATAACTTGAGAAGACAGCCTCAGGAGTGGAATTGTGTCCATTATGCTGGAATCATGTTTGTGGGGTGGGGAGTGTGGTCCTGTTTATAGAGAGTTTGAGAAGTTGGGGTTTTGATCAAAGAGAAAGAGATGTCCATAGGGTGGCAGTAGCACACAGCACTGTCGTTGGGTGAAGCTTTGACAGATTTGCCCAAAGGAGTCTCACAGCAGGAGACTGTCTGGAAGCGAAGGTGTCAGGTTGCTACTCAGAAAAGTGAAGAACAAGGGAACGCCTAAGGTAAAGGAACGCTGGAGAAGGAGCTCTGTGTCTAGGGGTAGCCAGACAACAGCTTAGTGGGGAGTCTGTAGGTCAGAGAATTCCACAGTAGAGGTTTGCAATTTTCATAACCTGGTGTTTATCTTCCCTATTGCTAGCAGATGTGGGTGAGGTTTTCTGTGGTATGAAAAACAAGCATTCTCTGAATGGCTAAAAATCTTCCTTGAGTTGTTTTTGAAATGACTGGATTGGGAAACTTGATTTTGGCACAGGCCATTTAGAAATAATCTGCAGCTTAGAAACACACAACATAGGGGCAGTTCACACTGGCCATCTTTAGCTCATTTATGCAACACTGTTATGCATTCTGTAGACTTTGTTCTGCAGACTGTAGTAGTCCCAACAGGCAAACTCGCATGTTCTGGAGGAGACTGAGACATACAGAGGCCTGTTGTACACCTGGACTTCAGTGGAGGGTTTTCCTGACTAAAAGTGAGAGTTTGCCCCTGAGTAAGAATTAAGACCAAGTCATCTGCAAAGAAATGAATTTGCAGGTCCTGTGACTGAATTCCTTATTCCATACTGAAGCCGTCTGGATTATCTCACTAACTGCAAATTGTCACCCACTGGGGCATACATTCATAAATAAATATTCTGGTACACAGAGAGCTCAGGGAGTGAAACCTTCATGTATGTCTATATCTTGTGCTTCTGAGAATTTCTCGCTCTAAAAACTGGATAAAACAGGGTTGTGTATGTTTGACATGTAAGGCAATACAAAACATGTTTCTAAGTCTTCAGACCCTCTAGACCTGCAAAATCTGAATCTGTTTTCAAACGTTTGAATTATTTGTCTTTCCTTTTTCTTGGAAAAACAACAACAACAACAACAACAACAACAGAAAAAAAATCTTATAAAATGATGGGCTAAGCCGTGAGATTTAGTGCTGGATTTTTTTTTTTTTTTTTGGTGCATGTTAATCTTTCTGCAGAGCCCACCTCACCAAACATTAATACAAAAATTAAAGCAATAATTCCATGCCTCTCTGAGCCTTCTGCATCTGATTAGTTCCCTCGAAACTCTCACCCTTATAGAAAGGGACTTCTGTCCTCAAAAGTAGGTCTTTATAAAACCATAGCTTGCCTGGAAGGCTATTACTTTTATTCCACCATTTGAACTTGAAAGCTGTCTTTCTGACCTTATATTAAAGCCTGGTTTCATTGAGAGGTGGAGAGTGGAGACCCCAAGAAGATTCTGGGGACTGAATTGGGAATTTGAGCCTTCTAAACTGCCGTGGAAGCTGCCTGTGATGTGAAAATTTGTATAAATATATCAAGAAGACAAAGAAACTTTTTCTTACTTTTTAATTTAGAGAAAATGATTCACCCACAGAAAAATCAAAAATATAATATGAGAATTCTGACACTTATTACTCCTCATTTTATATTAAGATCAATAAAATACTCTCATGAATTTTGAATACAGAAATGTTAAGACCTTCAAGAAAAATCAGAGACAAAATTAAATCACTTTAACTCGTAAAATCATCTTAAATTCTTTTTTAGCCTCTTCTTGTCAACTCCTATTCATAAAAATCTAAAGTTCAGGATAAGAAAGAGTCAGAGGCTGAATAAATTACCTGGTGCTCATTCCCTGTTATAACAATAATTGTACAGCCTCTATGTGGACACCTCAAAATGGTGACTCTGCCTTATGGAAGCAGCAGTTTCGCTTCATAGTAGTAAATTTCACTTTTACTGGTCCTTTCTTGGCCAGGAGTCAACAATCACCCAAAGCTCGCATGCTCTATGAAGCATCAACTGTGCTCAAATTTCAGTACTTCTAGAAATTGCTTTTTCTAAAATATATCCTAGCAAGAAGAGAATGCAGGATCAGTAATAAAGTAAAACAAATTTTAACCTCCTGGAAGCAGCCAGGACATGAAATTATGAAGTGTAACACAGGACTATAGACATGACCATGCCTCAGAAACTTACGTGACCAGGTCTTACTCATTTTTAGCATTCTTACTCTGGTCAATGAAGAACATTGTCAACCTAGAAAATGACTTTCTGTTTTGTAAAATCCTAGTAGCCCTGGGTAGAATTTAAAGCCTAATATGAGAATTTATATTATTTGCTTACCCCAGAAAATCTGATTGCATAAAAATTATCCATATTAAGCACATTAAAATGGGAAATCTATTGATCCTGTGGAAAATTATAGCAAATATGTGCAAGTTTATGATATTTCTAAATAGGTCCTTTAACAGGAGCAATATCTTTGTTTCCAGGTTGATACTAAGGTATTAAATTTCAGTAAAAGTAATTTGTTTTGGGTTCAAACTAGCTTATGATATTTGTCATTACAGTTCAGCTAATTCAGGACTTATAGAGAAAATATGACATAATGAGAAACCTGTTATTAAATTTGCCCCAATATTAATATTTGCAGAGAGACTAAGAGGCATGATTTGCAAAACCA